GGTCGCAGCAGCGAGGCTGAACGTGGGCACCCGCAAAGAAAAAGCCAAGCTGGGGATTTGTAATGCAAGCAGCGTTTCCAGGTTTCTTTTCCACTTTGCTCTCCTCCTGCTGTTGGATTTGAGATCATGTATGTGTTTTGCTGTTGATTACAGGGGGGTGTTAAAATCCAGGGAGGGAAGAGGATTCGGAAGGATTAATATGTTAGTTTTGATTTAAGGGGATTTTTTTTTTTTTTTCCTCTTACCCCTGCCCTTCATCTTTGTTAACACAGCTTTGTCTTTTTTTTTTTTTTTTTTTTGGTCAGTTAAGATTGTAGCCTTTGGGAATGAGAGAGATGGGTTTTCGGAGGACAGCCAGCAGCCGAGCCTGATCTGGAGCTATCTCGGGAGAAGTGCTCTCATTTCCCAGATCGACAGCAGCTTGTCTGCCAGTCACGCTGGAAACCCAGTTTTTACCGAGTATCAAGCCTGCGTGTTTGGAAATGTCAGACTGGTGGTACACGACTGTCCTGTCTGGGTAAGAGATCAGTCCCAATCTGTTTAACTGCACTTAGCAGTGTAAGTTGTTTTAATCAGATGAAAGTATATCTTAATTTTAAATTATTGTCACTATTGTGGGATTTTATTCATATTTTAATTACTGCAAATAGTAAAAGCATGTAAAATGTAACCAGGCAAGTGCTGCAAAGTCTCGAAGGTGCTACAGAAAGTTTCTCATTGACAAGCTGCTGCCCACCTCCTCTGTAGGAAGGTGGTATTTTCAACTGTGCTGTTGAGTGAAAACTTTATTGAAGATAATCCCGAGGGAAACAAGAATCCCTTTTTTGTGACCCTGCATCATAAGCACTCTCTCCAAATATTTATCAACAATAAACCTATTTTTTTTTCTGTAAAAATGATAACGTCAGCTTTCCAGCTTTGAAAAATTACAGATTGTAAGATCTGATGTCTTGCAAAATACAGTATACGGAATCATTTTACTTCTGTTATAATGAATAATCACATTTAAACATAATTTGTTTTATTTGAAGGTAAATAAAAAGGATTTTGGCACTGTTCCAGGTTGTCAGCACTTTTGTTAGTAAGTGAGGTGACTTAGTTGTAAGTATGAGCAGATCAATGATTATGTAAGAAATCATACTGATAATCTAAATTAAAACATATTTAATGATCACTTAGTAGTCTTAAAAAAAATTAAGCTTAGCAGCTTTTAGAAATTAAAACAATAATCAGTTTCAGCTCCATAATTCTGTCCTTAGATTGATTTTTGCAGTCCTGTAAGGGAAACTTTTTTTGCAATCTGCAGGAATTGTGACAGTTCCAGAAATACATGGTCAGAAGTTTGTAATCTTAAAATCTCAAAACCAGATTAGCTATCCTTCTGTTCTCCATTTCTCATGCTTTTTTGTCAGCTGCCCTTACAGACGCTGGTTCAGATGGACGGGTGGATCCTGTTTGTAATCTTTGAAGCTGCATGTGACCTGCACGTGCAGGTTGCTGGAGTCATTTGAGCGTAGCAATGAGCAAAAGCTCCTGAACATGAGTTAAGGCTGTGGGACTTCAGAGGGTGTTTCAGAGTATTGCGGGTTGGTAAGGGAGGAGCGAAGGCAGGCAGGGATAGCTGGAGAAGGGCAGAAGAAAGGACCTAGTTTGGAGGTGCACTTCATGTGTTTTTGTTTTATTTGCATTTGCTCTTCTACAAAACAAGGTTCTTCAGTTCTGGAGACCTTACTATTTTTGCCCTTGAAAAGCTAGCTTGCTATTTTCTGCAGCATTATGTTTCTGAGGCCTTTCTCAGGTAAAGAAGGCAGGAGATTTATTACTGGGAATGATGAGAAACAATTGCCTTTTTTTGCTTAGTAGAAGGCACCTCCGACATCTGGACGGGACTCTGCAGGAGGTTATTTGTTCTGGGCGAAGCTGTCTCCTTGCTAGGGTTAGGCAGAACAGGACTGTTTTCCATAGCCTGGATGCTTGCGGTTTGCTACGTCACGGTGGTCCTTTGAGGACTATTCCTCTGGTAGCCTCGGGAAATGGTACATGACAGTTCGAAACGTTGACAGGCATTGCCTCAAGTACGGTTGCTGTTAATACGTCATATTTTCATGGAAAAGGAATCTTGTCGCACATTACTGAAACATAGAGGTGGTGGTATGGTGGGCCTTGCATTATTTTCATCTCTATCATCTGAGTATAATGTAAAGGCGGATTTGCCTTTTACCTGAGATTTATCTGATCTTGATTAAATCCGTATGATTAAGGCAAGCCAGTCCTAGACATAGACTTGGCAACTGAGTACGTTGATAGCTGTGATTCTCCAAACTCAAGGGCGGCAAACTGCTCTTTGTCCTCTACAGCCATCAGTCTGGAAAAGCAGCATGGATGCAAGTTTACCCAGTAGAGCTCCCCAGTGCATGGGCGGGTTCTTTTGTGAGATAGGTTGTGGTAACGGGTGTGTTTGCTCGTGTTTCCATCTGCTGCTGCACGTGTCTTGTCAGCCCAGGACACTGCTCAAATCTCTTCAGTCTGCAGGAGGCGTCAACAACCCAAGTGTCTTGGGTTGAACTCTTCCCGATGATATTATGATATTGGGCATCGTTACCTATGTACTATATGTCTCCTTGAAAGGGCTGCAGCAAGTTTTTTCAGCAGCTGCTAAGTGCTCGTGCACTGACGGGTTGGAGAAACGTGAAAGGTCTGGACCATGCAGTGAACGCTGCTGTGGTGGCATCATATGCTGGGCTCACCGCGGTTGGTGAAACAGCAGCAGCGCTGCCGTGAGAGCGTGGTATTCTCTAAGCTGAGGGTTACTGAAGGTGGCTGCCAAACTGGAGAGGTAGGAAGCAAGGCTTCTTGGGCATGATTACCCAAGGCAATGTCCATCAAATGTTGCAGACAGACATGGGAGAACGGTGCTTCCAACCTGCCGTGGGACTGCTGTTTTCACACAGTGGCTCCATAAATATTTTAACAGCCTGTACGGGTATTATATTCTTTGATATTGCGTGGCTTACAAAATTACAAGGATAAATTTGTGTTTGCCAACATGCAAAATAGCAGCAGTGTCTTGGTTTCAGTTCAGTGCAAAACCCAAATACCAAATAATGCTCAAGGCCAGTGTTTTCATAACAGATCCTGCAGGCAAAACATCACTAATCCCTGCAGAGCACAGCAGACTGCAAAAGCCAACACCAATCTTTAATATGTACAGCAAAAACAAGAGTATGGTGCAGATCAGTTAAATTAATATCGAGAACAGATGAATCAATATTGTGACTGATAACTGTTAACAGATGTAAATTCCTTAATACGCTCTAGTTATCTGTTGCTATCTCAAATCCTTCGAGCCCCACGTTGTTGGGCACCAACAACGATTGTCGTGGTTTAACCCCAGACAGCAACTAAACACCATGCAGCCCCTCGCTCACCCCCCTCCCCTCCAGTAGGATGGGGGAGAGAATCGAGAGAGCAAAAGTGGGAAAACTCGTGGGTTGAGATAAAAACAGTTTAATAATGGAAATAAAACAACGTAGAACAGTAATAATAACAAGATAACAACAACAATAATAGACTGTACAAAGCAGGTGATGCACAAAGCAACTGCTCACCACCTGCCGACCAACGCCCAGCCCATCCCCAAGCCACAATTCCCCCTTCCTGGACCACGCCTCCTAGTTTATATACTGAGCATGACGTCATGTGGTATAGAATACCCCCTTGGCCAGTTGGGTTAGCTGTCCTGGCTATGCTCCCTCCCAGCTTCTCATGTGCACCCAGCAGAGTGTGGGAAGCTGAAAAGTCCTTGACCAGTGTAAGCACTACTTAGCAACAACTAAAGCGTCAGTGTGCCATCAACATTCCTCTCACACCAAACCCAAAACACAGCACCACACCAGCTACTAGAAAGAAAATTAACGCTATCCCAGCTGAATCCAGGACAGGCAGCATGTTGTGACACGGGGTTGTAGAGATAGTGGTGGAGCGGACTTTTCAAAATCTGGGGGCAAAATGTTTCCAAAACCGCGTTGATTTCCGTGTGCCAGTCGCTGGGTATATCACTATGGCCCGCTGTGTCCCACATTACATTTACAAAGCTGGATGCTGATACCTCCCATGTGCAGGGGACAGATACACAAGCAGGCCAACATCCTTGTGATTCACGTGGCTAGAAAACATTTTGATAAAAAATGCAGACCCAGGATGAGAGGAGATATAAAGAACTAGGGAAAATGTATATGTGTGCTAACATCCACGCTGATTATTGTGATTTTAATAGCTTATCAGTTGCTAATGCATGCTCAAGTTTTGCTCTCATGAAGTATGTTGAACTAGCATGTCCCAGTTTTTCTGATTTCTTGGGGGGTAAACCTCAGTATGGGAGCTAGTAACTTACAAGGAGTAATTTGCAAGATAAATTTTAAGATTTGCTTTGGAAAAGGTTGCTTTAATTAGCACTCTATATCAGATTTGACAGTCTTGGGGACTGAGTTGCCATTTTATTGGCTTGCATGTAGTTTGCAACTTCAGCCACTTCGTACTGAATTTTGTTATGCTTCTGCATATGTACAAGTAAAAACTGCAGAAAAAGTGCAGGCAAAATTCCTAATATCTGCTGGCAAGTGAATCTTCCTCAACTTTGGAACGAAGCATAGCATAGGAGCTATAATTGATATTTTGATTCATTTAATGATGGTGCTGGAAAAGGAATGGCAGAATAAAAGCTTCACTATGAGTGTCCCCTCCTACGTTACCTCTCTTCTTCTTTGCACTTTTGTTTGGAGCCGTACTATACAGATATGAGAGTGTTTTGGTCCTGGGTGGAGAGTCTTGCTGTCCTTTTTAATTTTTTTCATCTGCGAGCACCTGGTTTTGTTTTTTTGTGTTTTTGTTTTTGTTTGGGGGTTTTTTTGGTTCTGTGGGTTTGGGTTTTTTTCCCCCCAGGGAACAATACCTCCAGAAATTTTTTGTTTTCCCCTAATTTGTAAAAACTGCCCGGTTTCTAGAGAATCACTGACATCATCATGTCCCCAGTAGCAGAAATGTTACAAAAGCAGAAAATGGAGCAGCTGGGTTTTGGAGAGCGCCTTGTGCCGGGTTCGGCACTTGCAGAGGGATGGGTGCTGTGCTGTGTGTGTACCTGCTCAGAGGCTTCCGCAGGCGGCAGACCTCCGTGGGACTCACTAGTGCTCGAATATGTTAACTGCAATTTTGAAAAGATGTTCTGTGAATTGTTTTTTTTAATTCTCCCTTTCAACAACCTCTTTCTCTGAGTCTTTTCACATTTTTCTGTCTGCTTTTTTTGCTGCACCAGTGCTAGTAGTTCCTCGAACCCTGTGAGCTTTCTTATGTCCGTGGACATCCACGGTGCCCGTGGGACTCACTAGTGCTCGAATATGTTAACTGCAATTTTGAAAAGATGTTCTGTGAATTGTTTTTTTTAATTCTCCCTTTCAACAACCTCTTTCTCTGAGTCTTTTCACATTTTTCTGTCTGCTTTTTTTGCTGCACCAGTGCTAG